CATTGAATATTTACATAGTTTTGCATTCCCAACTGTTGTTCTCATCCGGGCTGGAGTGGACTGCAGTTTCTACCTCGCATTGGTCTTATCAACACCCTCACCGGGACTCGAACCACGACAGTTCAGGATGGAAGCTTGACACGCCTAACCACTCGGCTACACTGCCAAGCGCCTTTTGGGTCACAAGGCAAATGTGAATTTTCAAGGAAGGCCAGGCCTTTTTTGCCATATCATATGTGTTTTTTGTGGAATTGTCGATGAAGCAAACATATGTTTTGCTATAACCTTTTTTTGTAGAATTGTCGATGAAGCAAACGTATGTTTTGCTATAAAAATCGACTACTATACTTTATTTATAAGTATTGTTTTTCGTGACTAACAGTAAATCAGTTATAAGATGTATTCACCCAATTTCGTTTAAGGTGAGGAAGGACTGGTAGAAGTAGAATTTTCCCACAAATGCTATGAGTTGGACTGACGTTTCCATTGAATATTCACATGGCTCATATCATTTGTGGGAAAATTCCACTTCTACCAGTCCTTCATCACCTTAAACGAAATTGGGTGAATACATTTCATAACTGATTTACTGGTAGTCACGACAAACAATGCTTAATTCGAGAAATAGAATATTTTTGTCCAGTGCATTTCCATTTTGAGTGAAGGCACTTGGTGAAGAGGTTCAGATGTCGATCCTACAAGAGGACAACGAATTACGCTTGGCCAGCTGCCGAATGACTTTACTGGAGCATTCATGTTGATGCAATTTCATTCGAATCCGAGGCAATTTGCTAATATTTCGCCTATCATATGACGCGAATCATCGAAAAAGGGATTTATTCTTGCTACCATATTTATTATAACGAGTCAAGCCTAGAACATTTTAGTGGCACTCGACGCAGATTCCCTCGGAAACAGTGTCCACAAGATTGTTTCAATAAAGCCAATCGACAGTTGGCCAAGATAAATCGGTCGTCATCTTCTGATGAGATCGACCTTCTAATGGCTTCACTAAACCCTTTTACTTGAAGGTAAAGGGAACTCAACAATTAGAAACCAAGAGACTCCTGGATACTCAACTTTACTTTGCAGAGGATCCTGTTGTTGTTGCCGATCGAGCCTAGACTATAGTTCAGTCTGAATGATATCATCTTTAATGGAGTAAAACTAAGTGAAATTTCCTGACAATATAATACTAATAATAAATTGCTTTTATCCTATTTCATTTAAGTTTATGAAGAATTGGTATACTATGAGTATAGCTGATGTTTTCCATTAAATTTCACATAGCCTTGCTTTCACATCGCGGCTGGAGATGACTGCAGTTTCGACCTCACGCCAAGCGGGAATCGAACTATGACAGTGCAGCTTGTAATCTCGACACGTTAACCACCCAACCACATTGCCAAGAGAGCAATTCGGTCACAGAGCAGATATGAATTTCTAGCAATGTCTGGCACTTTTCATATCACATTCTCTGTTGTGATTGTCGATGAAACAAATTTATATTTGCCGTGACAACCGACGATAATACTTTTTTCGTAAGGGAGTATGTTTTCGAAACTACCAGTAAATCACATATATGAGTTGTATTCACCCCATTTTGTTTAAGGGGATGAAGGACTGGTAGTTAAATTGAATGAAATATGGTGAAAACCACTCATATATATGATTTACTGGTAGTCTTTAAATCCTACTCACTTACACAATAAAAATAATTTCATAATAATTCTTCACAAATTATGTAATGAACTATTATCTTAATAATACATCTGTTTATATTCAAATATTTTCCTAATGGGAAAATCTGGTTCTTATTTTGAAGTTATAGATATTTTAGGAAGTGTATGAGTTTATTTAGAATTCTGCTGATGTGGCGGAAGAAACTTCCACTATAAGTCTCGATAGTTTGTCCGAATTATATTGATAGTCCACAAAATGAACGTACCACGAATGTTTGAAAACCCTATGAAGTAGCCGGCACAGAATAGCAAGTGCTTAGGATGAGAAAAATTTCCTCGGTTATAGTGAGACATATACATAAGAGTGGGTTTTACCTCGTTTTCGCAACTTGGTCTTGTTGTCAGGGCGACTTAGTAGAACACACCAAGTCCAAAGTCGTCTGCCATTGTAGTTGTCATAAATTCCAGCATCAGACAGTGGAATTGGTACCTTCGCAAACGTTTCGCCGGCATCGTAGTCGGCATCATTAATGAGGTTTTCCATTCTTGGTCTTCATATCTTCCATATAAATAGGATTTGGAGACCATCAACAAATCATAAATATGTGTTCAGACTATTTCGATGAGATGATGACGGATTGGAAGTTGAATTTTTCAACATTTTGTGCTTCATCAACAATCCTAGCGCAGAATGGGATATTTGAAAAAGCCTGGCCTAAGGCTAAATTCACATCTTTTGTGTTTGAGTAGAGTTTCGAGACTAGCAGTAAATCAGTAATATGAGATATATTTGCCCTATTTCGTTTATGGTGATGAAGAACTGGTATTAGAATTTTCCCACAATCATATGAGTAGACCTGACGTTTCCATTGAATTTCACATTGCCTTGCTTTCCCAATAGTTGTGTGAAATTCAATGGAAACGTCAACTCTATTCATATCATTGTGGGTAAATTCGACTATTAGTCCTTCATCGCCTTAAACGAAATAGGGTGAATAGATCTCATACAAATTTACATCGACAATAGCTTTTTGGAAGCAAGACTATGGGAAAGTCTCTGGAAACATGCGTCCTACTGGTGCAATTGTGTGAAAATGAAATGACTCATATTGCATCACATTGCACGGCATAGGATGGACAGATGTTAAGTGGAAAGTGGTTTGTCTGTATCATTCCGCCACACATTCAAGTGTCGGTTTTGTGTCACCTTTTGCAGGTCCCGGCGCGGCGTCTGCCGGCCATCGCCAGCTCGTCGAGTTGTCCGTTGGCGTCGCGGCCGGAAGGTACTGCAGTTGGCTGGTCACGCCTCGGTTGGCGGCCAGCCTCGCGATGCTCCATCTGCCCGACGGCTCGGATGGTCGTCTGGACGAGCTCACCGGCCCGGCAAGACTGGCTTGGCGGGCGTGGCTGCGAGAAGCCGGATTCTCCTACCGGTTGACGAGACGCGAGTGAGTCCCTCCTCTGGCCGGTGGAGCCGGTTCATCCGACAATTGTACCACTTTGCTTCTGCTCAAACTGGCCGACTTCCACGCGACAGTGGGCACAAAACAGTCTCTCAATAGAGTCATGTTGTTGAGCTGACTTCCATTTCGAGTGGAAGAAATTCGAAGGTGGCTTCCAACAGAAGACGACCAGCTGTCGATTGGCTCTACTGGAAGATTCATGCTGACGCTGTTGCCGAGGCAACCTCACTCGAGTCCGGTGAAAAGCTGCTAAGACACACTAACATGCATCGAAGTTGACATATGATATTAACTAACCAAATCACTTTATACTTGATCAAAGAGGCCAGGAGTAGAGTATCTGTACCACTTTTTGGGCATTTGTCGGTGAGTTTTCTCGACCCGTTAGCTTGAATTGTGTTGTGACGATGATACCATGCCCCGATGATGTTCGTCATAGCTTGGCACCTTTTCACCGAAATCGAGTGAGCTTGCCTCGGCAACAGCGTCAGCATGAATGTTCCAGTAGAGCCATTCGACAGATGGTCAAGAGGAATCCGCCGTCGTCTTCTGGTGGAACCGAGCTTCGAATCTCTTCACCCAACACTTTCACTCGAAATGGAAGTACCGTAATTTCCGACGTAAAGGACGACTTTTCACACCATACATTTCTGCTTCTAAGGGGGGGGTCGTCTTATACGCCACGTGTGTAGTTTAGGTATCGCTAATTGGAATATGGTTCCGAGCTCCTGTTGTGCCCCTTACCTCCTTACAAAATCTATATTTTAACTGGAAAAGTCAGGGGGTCGTCTTATACGCCCAGTCGTCTTATACGCCGGAAAATACGGTAAACTCAACAATTATGAAACAATATATTCCCCGAAACCCAACTTTTCTTGGAATTACTTATGCTTATTTGATAGATTGAAGGAGAGAGAGAGGGTGCAAATGAGTTTTCTTGTCTCTTTAGCTTGAATTTGGTTGTGACGATGATACCTTGCTCTGATGATGTTCGTCAAATGACGGACGAAAGCTTAGCACCTTTTCACCGGAATCGAAGGAGATTGCCTCGGCAACAGCGTCAGCATGAATGTTCCAGTAAAGCCAATCGACAGCTGGTCAAAAGGATCCGCCGTCGTCTTCTGGTGGAACCGACCTTCGAATCTCTTCACCCAACACTTTCACTCGAAATGGAAACAGGAGATTCCTCAAAACCCAACTTTTCTTCGCATTCGTTTATAGTAGCCAACCAAATGCTGGGATTGCGCATTAAGATCACGAAGTTTTTTGTATAAAAAAGT